GACTTCACTTTATGCGGCAGGTGAAGTTTGTCTTTCTGCATGATTCATTTACATATGATCACTTTTTTATGTGGAAGTGCAGCAAATAAGTTCTATAATAGTAAAAGCTTAGTTACAGCCAAAGTAAACATATATTCAAACCAGGTTTTGGATTGTGTTCCTGACCTACAGCTTGTTTTTAAAGTCAGCATTCATCTCCGTCAGTTGAGACGCAGTGTTACAGGTCAAAGCTTGTGGTCAGCATGAATCCTTCCTGCTGTCTCAGGAGCTGCTGCCTGGTCATGATGAGCAGCTAAGAGTCCGAATATCACCTGCAAACCTATTCTGCTTTAAAGATCACCTTTGCAAAGTGGAAAGTCTGTTTGGTTTGCTGTGACTGAGGGATCATGGGAGGACTCTGTGAGATGGGATGGGTGCAGGAGGAGGCAGTAACAGAGACAGAAAACTGATCATGACCTCCAGTGAGCTTCATCTTTTGTAATGTTTTATTTATTTGTAGGAAGTAAATATTGTTTTCATCAGAGCGTAGCTGATGCGTTAGGATTTAGACCTTGTGCCTGAACAACTCTGCAGATGTGGAGCTGACCGTGGAGCTGACCGCGGTCCTGAAGCAGTTTAAGCCACTCGGCCTGTTTAAGCTGCAATATGAGAAGTTTTCTTTTCACAAACTGCACGTGTTGGGGTGATGGAAAGCATCGCACATTGATAGAAAAATAGGTAAAGATTGTGGCTTCAAGTAAATGCACATTTTTAAGTGTTATTTGCTGAAACTGAATGGTTAAAGCAGCGGCTGCCTAAAACTGATTTCTTTCATTTAATTTGAACGTTTAAATCTTCTGGGTCGACGTTTACAGTTTTTATCACATTATGCTTCAACACAAGGCTGTCGGTCTTCTGTCATTTCAGGTCGTCTTGTTACAGCAAACATTTAACTCATGAATAAAGAATAAAGTCCATGAAAGGAGTTTTCATGAAATAATTAACTTGAGTCATGAAACATAAATATCATAAACGTTTTGAATCAAAATGCATGCTGGGTTTTTGTGGGGTTTTTTTTCTGCACTGATCTGTTTAAAAATTCCCCTTAACTTGAGTTTATTAATTTTTAAAACGATTAAAAATAAAAAAGTCAAATTAGGGGGCATGTTATTAGGTTTTAATTCCTTGTGTTTAATGTTCAAAAACCGACGTAAGCCTGCTCTAACAAGTGGCATAAAGGATTTAGTTTGTGCACAACAGCTCCTTGTTGCTTTGCAGAAGCTTAAGGACAAAACTAGAAAACTCTAAAGCTCAGAAAACAAACAAAAAGGACAGTAAAAGCTGCCTTGTTCGCCTACAGCTTGATAGCACAACAGAATAATTTAGATGAGCTGAGGTAATTAGTATTTTTTCCTATTTTTCTTGTCAAAACCCAGTAAACTGTGTTGTTAATCTGGAAAGACGTTCATTGTGCCAAACGCTGATCTGCTGCTTGTCAGAGCTGCATCATGGAATTTATTCACCTAAAGCTGCTTTTATCTGGATCAATAAGCTGTACAGAACCGTGTATCTGTGGTGATGGTAAAGATGTAAAGAGACATGATGGTTACAATAATAGGCTGCGTATAGACTGTAAATAACCTGATGGGTTTTATATATATATAATGAAATGATCTTTCGTTTAAATTATGAATTAAATCAAGTCATTTTGATGCAATAATAACATGTCAGTAGCGATGTAGTGGCTGCATGTTGAAAACAGCATTATATGAACTGAACTGGTCCTTTAAAACTATTTCAACCTGTTTAAAATAAAAACTGTGTTGGTTAGAATTTGGGGAGCAGATGCATGAGGATAATCAGTCACTTTTTGAAACAGACAACAGGTTAAATTAATTTACAGACGATCATTTGCTATTTTAAAAATATATATAACAGATTAACAGCCATTCTTCAAACTGAACAGGCCCTTTTATTTTACATGTGTTTTTTGTTATTTCTCGAGTCTAAATGACAGATGCTGCCCCTGCTGTGAATATAAATGACTTTTAGGAGCACAGCACTGATTTTAACACATTTATTATCAAGACTAGTGATAATGCCAGAAATCCAAGAAAGGGAACAGCTCACAAAACAAAAACTGACTGCATATTCAGTAGGGTGTGTATTTTCAATCAAATCATTCAGGGAGACAAAAAGTAAAAACAAAACCCACAGATCATTAGATTAAAGTGCTGAGGGGGGAGTCCTTGTTACCTCCACGACTTATTCGTCTGTCTTCCTGTGAAAGGATCCAACTCTGAAAGACACGAGTCACAGATAATTTAATGCACGCATACAGTCGTAAATGCTGGATTTCACGCACCGTGTTTACCTCCTGTCGCAGCGTGGACACACTCTGCCCCACACCGTCTTCAGCATGGCTTCCCTCAGAGCAGGACTCCCCCAGATGTACACGGACGGCGTGCACAGGGCGTTCAGACGAGCCAGGATGGCGAACAGGTTGGTGCCCTCGTTTCTAAACGTCAGCCCTCCTCCTGCCACGAATCTGATGATGATATTGACAAAAGACGGACACCACAGCACCAAGAAACTTATGACCACGAAGATCACGATTCTGAGGGACTCCTTCTTGTTGTCCCGCTCTGCGCTCGGAGGGTCTCTCTCCAGCTGGTACCTGGCGATGACGTACAGTTTGATGGTCATGACCACTTTGGTGAGCACGATGAGCTGGAAGAAGACGATGCTGAACACGTACAGCTGCATGGCTTTGGAGAGGGGCAGCAGATTCCTGGCGAGCAAGTGCGCAAAGTTGTAGAGCCAGCAGTACACGTTGATGCCGATCACGAACTGTCTGGTGATGAAGCGGCTGTAGATGAACGGGTGGCACACGGCAAAGTAGCGGTCGAACTGCGCGAACAGAAACGTCAGTATGTTAATGCCTAGAAGTGACGGTAACACATTGTACGTGCCGTTTCTGGGAGGATAGCCCTCCTGGACGTCAAACAGACCCAGGTAGTAGACTGAGAAGCCCACCAGCGTGTCACAGACGCTGGTGTTGAGCATGAAGATGAACCTGTTCTGGAGGCGCAGCGCCCTGGTGGCCAGGATGGAGACGGCGACCGTTCCAGCCACCAGGACGGTGGCTGTGGCGAATAGAATCTGGAAAATGAAGATGAAGTAATCCTCAGGACTGTCGAAGTCCACCGAGAGGGGCACTGTTCCTGTCCGAGAGGCTGTCATGTTGGAGACGAGCATCGTTTGTGCGCAAACGCTTCTTACGCGCAACCAGTGTTTTATAGGAGCAAGTCTGAATCCCTGGAGGTGACATGAGCCAATGTCGTGGTTTTTTTTCTTTTTTATGCACAAGTCACACAGAGAGTTGTTTTCCTCACAAACACTAAAAAAAAAATCTGCTGAAGTGCCAGAAATGTTTTTTTGTTTTGTTTTTTTAAAGCGGTGCAATACTGTGAAAAACTAGGAACAAATAAAGACAAATATCTAAAATAATTATATTTTTAGCATTTTATGATCACACTGGAAAAGAAATAATTACAATTTGTAGAAACACACTTTAAATGTGGGCATTATGTACAGTTTGGCCTGCTTTAGCAGTCAACAGGAAAACTTTTCTAATGATCTAATTTGATTAATTTAACAAAACAGGGACATTCTGTAGTTAAGTTAAAAATTTAGAATTTTATCATCCTTCTGCACGTAAAAGAAACAGGTTAAGATTAAATATTGTAAAAACAAATTACTCTTGCAAAAATACTGAATTTGGACGCATTGTTTACAGTGTTTATCTGTTTCTTCAGGCTTTTAATAGTAAATAAAATATAAAAACAAATAAAAAATGACGTTTCTAGTTATCATCTGTAATTTAACAAAACAAGGAAAATCTGTAAAATAATAGTAAATTGTTCAAATAAATACAGTGAAAAGGTTTAAGAAATGTTTGTGTCTACACTGTAAAGAAAAAACTAAAATTCAAACACTCATTTTTATTTTTGCCAGGAAAACTTTTTTTAATTATTATTTAATTTCATTAAGTTACTTAGAACGTTGCAGTATTGCACCTTTCTTATTTTGTCGGATGATTTTTAGTTATTGAGCAGGGTTTTCTTTTACAGCATTATGAGACATGTATTCAGCTTTTGCTGGACTCAGCCTGATGGAGCCACAATAGAAAACAGTTCTAGTTTTGTGCCTGTCTGATAAACAAATAGCTGTTATACATTCAGTATTGTTGGAAACTATTTCCAGGTAATTAAACCTAATAGCGGTACCTTTTTTTTAATGTTTGTTTGTTTTTTTTAGTCTTGTTTAATTAGAAGAGCACTCCTTCGTCAAGGCTACAACTCTCTCTCTCATTATTTTAAGTAAAGTGATCTGAATCCACATCACATTTTACAGGTTGTTCCTTTGGCCACGTTCCAACTCTCCAACGACATTTGGCCAGTAAGGTTTTGCGTAATTTTGTTAACGAACACAAACTAATGTCGAACAAAAGATTTCTCCTTTTTTTTCCCTTTCATTTTTAAAAAAAAATGTTTTTAAATCAACATCACCGCATGTGGGTACTGCGGTCTCCTCACTGTGCCTATTTTAGTCAGTTTTTATGGATCAGTCACCTCTTAATCCTCACCAGGGTCATGGGGGGCTGGAGTCTATCCCAGCTGACTCAGGGTGAAGGCAGGTTCACCTGGACAGGTAACCAGTCTATCACAGGGCTACACTTAGAGACAGACAACCAAGCACACTCACATTCACACCTACGGACAATTTAGAATCACCAATTAACCTCAGCATGTTTCTGGACTGTGGGAGGAAGCCGGAGAACCCGGAGAGAACCCACGCTGCACGGGGAGAACATGGAGACTCCACGCAGGAAGATCCCGGGTGTCCTCACCGGGACGCGAACCGACGACCTTCTAACTGTGAGGCAACGGTGCTAACCACTTATGGATCACATGTAATTATTTTTTTCATGTATCATTGTCTGATTTACCGAAACAGAGAAAATCTGTAAAATGACAGAAAAATGTTTAAAAACGTTAATTTTTGATCCAATAAACTGTGACAAAGAAAAAATTCAAGAATGATTTTATTTTTTGTTCTCTTCACAGTTTCCGTGGTTTTTCCTGGTCCCCTTTAGTCGTGTCTATGCAGTCTGGTCGTGGTCGGTGTGTGTGTGTCAGTCAGTGGGTCTCCAGCGGCCTTCCTTTGCCTCCTGCCTTCACAGAACAGGACGAGACTCTGACAAACACAGAACATGAACAGCAGCTGAGCCTTTTGCACTTTTACCACCGACAGAAACAACACGTTTACTGCACTCCTCACCTCCTCCTGCACCGCGGACACACTCTGCCCCACACTGTCTTCACCATGGCTCTCCTCAGGGCCGGACTGCCCCACAGGTACACCGCCGGGGTGGACACTGCGTTAAAACGCGCCATGATGGCGAACAGGTTGCTGGCTTCGTTCCTGAACGTCAGCCCCGCGCCCAGCGCCAGTCTGAGGATGATGTTAATGAAAGAAGGAAACCACAGCAGCAGGAAGGTGATGACCACAAAGATGATGATTCTCAGAGACTCCTTCTTGCTCTCCCGGTCGGTGCTGGGCGGGTCTCTCTCCAGCTGGTATCGGGCCACAACGTACAGTTTGATGGTCATGACCACTTTGGTGAGCACGATGACTTGCAGGCAGACTATAGTAAAAACATACACCTGGATCGCTTTGGAAAGGGGCAGGAACCTCGAGATGACCAGCTGGCCGTAGACGTGACACCAACAGTAGACATTTGCACAAATAACCACCCAACGTTTCACAAAGCGCGAGTAGACGAACGGATGACAAACCGCAAAGTAGCGGTCAAACTGCGCAAACAGGAACGTCATGATGTTGACCCCGAGGAGAGAGGGCAGCACGTTGTAAGTCCCGTTTCTGGAAGGATAGCCCTCCTGGACATCAAACAGACCCACATAGAAGACTGAGAAGCCCACCAGCGTGTCACAGACGCTGGTGTTGAGCATGAAGATGAACCTGTTCTGGAGGTAAAGCGCTCTGGTGGCCAGGATGGAGACGACCACGGGTCCGGCGAGCAGGACGGCGGTGGAGGCGAATAGAACCTGGAAAATGAAGATGAGATAGTCCACAGGATGGTCGAAGGTCACCGACAGAGGCACTCCTGCAGTCAGAGAGTGCGTGATGTTGGAGAGGAGCATCGTTTCATTAATGCGGCTTCATTCAGTCACTTTATGGTTTATAAGCTGCTCGTCTGAATCCAGACTGTCCTCCCTCCCTCACATGGTCTGAGCTCACTGATCCAATCTGTGGCGAGCCTTCAAGCAAGTTCATAAACATTTTCTCTTTTTTTCCCTTTTTTTTTTATTTACTTTTTTTTTTATTTATTTCAGTTTCTTTTCTCCTTTATTCTCTTTTATTTTAGGCATAATTCAAAGTCACTCGTCAAATAACTGCAACATTTTCTTTAAAATAATGTCAAATACACGGAAAATATTGAGTTTTATTTATTTATTCTTTTTTAACCTACCTTTTAAATACCCTCAAAAACAATGTCTTGTTGTAATTTATCAGTCAAACACTGTAAAAGAATTAATGAGCATTTTTCTAAATCTTGCATGTGAACATTACTTTTTTTTTCAATTGTTTTGAATTATTTTTCGTGCTAAGTATTTAAATGAATATAATTTTTCTGCAATTTTATTTGTAAAAGCAGAAAATCTGATCTGAAAACCTTTTAAAAAATAACAGATTACACACCAGATAACTGCAAACTGTGCCCTGAAAATCTCTGCAAGATGATTTTAATATTAAAATCCAAATAATAATCAACACAAATGCATTGCTGGGGTCATGACCTGTGCATGCTCTGAAACCTGTGACTGCAGAAAAGAAACATGAATATAAATATATATATGAGCAATCAAACACATAAATATGCCAGGTATTGATAGAGACACTGAATTGGTGATGGCTGGAACAACCTGACAGATGCTTTGCTCACAACAACAACTGTCTGGAGAAGTCAGCAGGCCGGCAGTATGAAGTAAATATAGAAGCAAAAATAACAACTTTATTGTCATTTAGCATCAATTATAATAATTATTATTCTTGTTAATATTAAATTCACACTAAAGATTTCATCCGTAATTTGAAAACCTGCATAAACGGTGCTGAAGAGGAAAAAAACACCCAGTTTAAATTCACTGTCAGGTTTGTTCTTAGTATTTATTAGGACAGGCGTCACTGCGGATGTTCTTGGACGACAGAATTCAGCTGATAAGTTTTGTTTAAGTCAAATGAAACTTGGTCATTAGTCGGTGAAATCAGAGTTCTCTTCTGCAACCTGCATCACTGAATAGAAACCTTTTCAGATTTGAGATTTTATGTTGTCATGATCTCACCTTTAAGGGGACAAAGACGGCCTCACATGATGATTACAAGTGGCTCAGCTGATAATAGGCCTCCTCGATGTTTTAACTTTTTATAATACACGTGTCAGGAATCATTTTAATTTCTTGCTGAGCTGTTGCAACCCTGCAAGTAGTAGCATGATGTCAGGGAGAGACAGGGCTGAGCACTGGAGTGAAAACAGGCCTCAGCATCTTAAATATTCTCATTTATATGTATGTATGTTATATAATAAGCCCCATTTATAGACGTGAAGTCTTCACACCAAATAGAAACTGATAGAAAACACAATGAAGGTCGTCAGGAATGATTGAGTTCAACATAAATATGATTTTGTTAAATGTCTTTAAAAACGTTTTAAAGGCCCGTTTGATTCATTTAGCCAGTAATAGACGTACACACTAGAAGTTGTGCTGATAAGAGCTTTTATAGTTTAGGTTTATCTTCCTGCTGCCATCATCACTGTTGTTGAGGAGACACACCATCAGTCCAGAGTGCTGAATCTTAATTAATCATCTTATAGTAAAACCTTGTTTGTTTCATGTTTTTCTCATTAATGTCACAGTTTTTTTCTATTGTTTTTTGTTTGTTTGTTTTTACATATAATATATTATTATTACACATTATATTGTCTAATTATTGAATCTGTAAAATGCCCCAAACCTAAAAATAAACACTTTAAAGTCAAACAAGACAGAAAACAAAGACTCTGACCTCAGGAAAACATCCTCCTTCTACAACCTGTACTGCAGCACCTGATGAAGACTCGTTTTCCAGAACAAAGAGTCACACAATAAGTTTAATATAAGAAACAACAACAACGTGAAATCAAAAGAAGGTCATCCAAATATTTAATTAGTTTCGGCTAGAAGCCTTACTGGTCAGCGTGGCAGGTGTGTTTCAGCTGAAAAACAATGTTTTCTAATGAAATGTCAGAATTAATGGACTTAGAATGGATAACCCAGATAATATAATGAGTCTCTTCACCTCGTCTGAGGCCATGTTTCACCTCAGACGACACCCTGAGTTACGCTTTGCTTCAGCCTTTAAAACACACATTTTAATCACAAGTGACTCAAACACATTCATTCCATTTATTCCTGTCTCTGTGGGACCTTCATGGTGATGCTCGCTGCTTCATTGTTGTTTTTCACTCCGTCAAACTTAGAGCCAATCCTGCAAAGAGAGCGAGGAGGTGGAAAAAGACAGTTACAGTAACACTAGGATTCATTTTAGTCATGCGCAAAACTGATTTTAAAAAATGCTCCTTTGATTTAGAACAGTGCGTGTTCAGGCTGCACCAATAACCTGCTGATCCGGTTATAGCCATTCAGAACAAAGGCTTTATCTCTCTGGCCGATTCACCTTCATCTAGAAATTCAGTTTCAAGTATTTTCAGGCTCTTGTCATTCAGTAAAACAAACACATGGCCTTAAGCTGGTGGCCTTTTTCAGACGTTGTTGCTGATGAATCACTAATTTTTTTCATTAAATCTCCAGCATAATAGGTTTTAGTCGATAGATTGAATTTCATTTTTAACAAAACACCTGGACAGAATTAAAACGAACCCTCCTGTTATCTTTGGGGTCAGTCTAACAGTTCAACATCTCTAAATAAGTCGTTGGCATCATTTTTTTTCAGTTTTATTTAAAGGGCTGTTTACACATACAGTTGGGTAACAATTTTAATTACGATGTTTTCTGCAGGTTTAAATTGCTGGAGTCAAACTGAACCCAAGGATAAAAGATGTCAGTAAATCTGAAGGTAAGAGGAGGGTTAGAATTCACGCGTTTTGGATGCGCAATCTAGACATGGAGTCAGATCTTTTCTCTGCACCTCGACAGTAAATGAGGCCTAAAGCAGACTTGATAAACACATTCTGAACAGAGATGATGGACCTGTTTTCAAGCAAACGTTATGACTGAGCGTCACTAATAATTCAAACCAAACCTGCCTTTGATTTTAACGCATCAGCAGCCTGCATGTGCCGCACTCCTTCATATGATCAGACACAGATGAGTGTCGGGACACACGTTGGGCTGCAGCTTAGGTCTGTTTAAAGATATAATAGCAATGAAGCATTATTTTCCCAATTCATTCCACCAACCAACCAACCAACCTCTTGGCTCTTTTGCAGCAGCAGACTTTGCTCCACACGCTTCCCCACACGGCCGCTCTGAGCGCAGGACTGGCGCACAGGTACAGGGACGGAGTGCACAGCGCGTTGCTCCTCGACAGGATCTTCATCGGATTCACGGCGTCGTTTTTAATGTCAAGATACTTCCCCGTCAGCGTGGACAGGACGGTGTAGAGCATGGACGGACCCCAGAGCAGCAGGAAGAACACCACCACCAGCACTATGATCAGCAGGGACTCCTTCTTGGCGTCTCTGTCCGGGCCCGGAGGCTCCCGGAGCAGCTGGTGTCTGGCCACCACCAGCAGCTTCACTGTCATCGCTATTTTGGTGATAATAATCAGCAGCAGGCTGATCCTGCTGTATATGCCGATCTCTATGGCTTTGGACAGCGGCACCATGTGCTGGATGAGCAGCTGGCCGAACACGTGCACCCAGCTGTACACGTTTACGCAAATAACCACCCTGATGCTGATGAAGCGGTTGTAAAAGAAGGGATGGCACACCGCGAAGTAGCGGTCAAACTGCGCGAACAGGAAGGTCATGATGTTGACTCCGAGGAGAGAGGGCAGGATGTAGTAAGTCCCGTTTTTAGACGGGAACCCCACGCGCACGTCGAAGAGGAAATGATAGAAAATGCCGCAGCCGGTCATCGTGTCGCAAATGCTTGTGTTCAACATAAACAGAAAGCGGTTCTGTCTTAAGAGCGCACGGGTGCTGATGATGCCTACAGCCACGGAGCCTGCGACCAGCACGGTGCTCACCCCGGCCGAGACGTGGAAGATAAAGAGGAAGTAGTCTCCCGGAGAGTCGAAGTCAACGCACAGAGGGATGGGAGTGATGGAGAGGTTCATGGCGCGCGCTGGCAGCAGCCGAACTGCGACCCAAACAGAGCAGGAGCTGTCTTTTAAAAGCTTTTAGTGGTGCTGGCTTTTCATTTTAATGCTGAGGGATGTAAGTAGGAGGAGACAGAGATGAGCAGATTAATGGGAAGCTAACTGACGCCATTTCCAGCCCAAAAAATTATGTTCTAAACAGGCTGTGGGAAGGTTCCAGTAATGTTGTGGGATTTTCTTTTACTTTCCAGAATGTTTTTCTTATAGTCAGGATTTCTCTGAACGGGTTTTCTCTAAAAACGCTGAATGTTACACAGAGAACCTCCTTAAATTGGTGTTGTGGGAACGTTTTATAGAAGAATGTGTTCCCTCTACAACATCCCCAAAACATCCTCAGAACGTTGCAGGTAAAACGTTCCACCTTTGTTAATGTGTCACAGCACAAAACACGTTCTGTCTCCTGAAGATCATCTGAAAACATGTTTAGAATGTTAGTTGGAGAACATTTTTCTTTTGTTGTCATGGAACATAATCTGGATGTAAAACGTTTTCATTCACTTTTAACGTCACAGGAACATTATATGAAATTGTAAATATGCTTGAAACGTTCTTTGAGCATTAGATTAAAATGTTTTCTTTAAAAACATCATGTTGGAGGAACTTTCCCTGCTTCCTAAATTCTTGAAATCTCTTTTAAATCTTTATTGTTGCCTTTGTTTCATACAAACAAGAAGAGGAAAAGTGTGTTCATGAGAGCAGAACAGTTCAGATAAACTCCTCTCACCCTCCACCATCTTGGCTTCTCTTTTTGGGGAGAGCA